GGAATGATTTTAACATCTCTCTGGTCACCTGCTAATATTTTAATGTTGGGATTATAAATAGGTGTTGGCTTCACAGCACTAAAGAGCTGAAAGCAATGAACACATGAAACTTAAGTCCTCTGGTAAGAATCTGGCTCATTCCGCAGCTTTAGCTTTTGGGTTTGAAGAGACCTTTCCTGTGGCAACTTGCATTTATGGGAAAGAGATTGAAAGAAGGATCCAAAAAGCACCAGATCTGAAGGTTAAGAATCACGTCAAGTGATCTTTTTAATACTTCAGGCAAACTTTGGTTCACAAGCGACAGCCCTACTTACTGCCTGTTTCTGTATGGCCCATAGGCTAAGAACAGCTTTGACATTTTAAAATGGTTGGAAAAAATCAGAAGATAATATTTCCTGAAATGTGAAAATTATATAAAAGTCACATTTCAGTGTCCCAAAATGAAGATTTATTCGAACCCAGCCATAGCCGCATGTTTACATATGGCTTGTATTTGGGCTACAGCAGCAGGGTTGGTAGCTGCCACAGAGACTGTGTGGCCTGCACAGCCTAAAATATTTACTGTCTGGGCTTTGCGGAAGGACCTGCCCTAGGTAATGGGGTGAAATAAGTGGAACAAAACCATATACAACTTGGAAAATAAGTAGAACACGACATTCTACCAATTTGTAAAGTAAGTTGAACAAAAACATACACAATTGTGAGTGTGGATTGCAAAGGCTGTTTAGGAGCCAGTCATAAAAAGGTGGCAAGAGGCCGAGAAGTATGGGTACATTTAAAATCAAATCAGTTTCAACATTTACATCTCTTGATCGCAATTCAAGTGTAGGAAATAAATGAATTGAACAAAACCAAAGTGTTTCTCATTCTGGCAAGAGCTGCTGAGGGCAGTTGGGTCCATCGAACCAGTTACATCTAAGCCCAAGTCTTCTGGAAAGTTCTTATTGAGATGACTAAGGAATAATTCACATGTTTGAAAGAAACATTGAGATTCAGTTTCACCCTGAAAACAAATTGACTTGCGTGCTGAACCACTTGAAAGTTGTCAAGATCGATTTTTCCCCCTTTTCCTCTTACTCTCCTACCTTTTTATCTTGATCAGTCTGCCTGCATTCTAGTTGACTCATGTCACTGACAAATATTTATTGATCATACAGTGTTTTCTAGGCACTGTTATAAGTATTTGCAATTTGCTAGTGAACAACCAGCTCACAATTATAGTGTAATAGGAGCGTTGAAAAATCCACAAGATAAATATGTGAAAGATACAGCATGTTAGATAGTAAAGAAGGGAAAGAGGAAAACTCCAGATTGTTCAGGCTGGGAGATGTTGCACTTTTAAACAAAGTGACTGACGGTTATATAAGCTCCTGAGAGACGTCTTATTGGCTGGTCTGGAGGTTCAATACTGGCATCAGGAAACATCGGTGAGTACCTGGGTGTACCCAGGTAGGCCAGCATCAGCTCTACCATAGGGGAAAATACGACCAGGTGGAAATGTCAAGAAAGCACTGGGAAAGCTTTTAAATTTCTAACCTACTAATTTCAAGTTCAAGATAATTCTTGAAGCCTACTGAAAACATAATTTGTCAAGTGAATTGACATGATTGAATGAATCCAGACAGCAGTCAAACACCAATGGAATGGACACAGCCTGGCTGTGGGAGGTATTTCTGCATTCCCTACTGTTGTTTGATGGTGGGTCTTCCTGGGGAGCTTTTAGTACCCTAGCCTCAAATGGAGCTTTGCTGGAGCCACGCCTTACATTTACCTAGAACCCCACAAATGGGATTTTGATGGATTTAAATAACATACTCTTAGCAGATATGGTGAATAACACTCTGAAATCCAGCAAAACTGATCTTTCTTAGGTACTTGTTAACTTCTTTTGTATTGGTTAGTACACTCAATCATCATCTAAAGTAATAGATCAAATTAAGATTGAATTAGCTTGGTCTCCGCCCAGAAAGCAATTTTCTGAGTTTATATGCTAAATTTCATTGTTTGGAAAAATTTTGGATATGTGATATGTTTAGTATCAATACACACACATTAACATATCTTTTTTTTGGAAACAGGGTCTTGCTCTGTCACCCAGGCTGGAGTGCAGTGGTGTGATTTCGGCTCACTGCAACCTCTGTCTCCCAGGTTCAAGTGATTCTCATGCCTCAGCTTCCTGAGTAGCTGGGACTAGATGCACATGCCACCATGTCTGGCTAATTTTTGTATTTTTCGTAGAGATGGGGTTTCACCATGTTGGGCAGGCTTACATATCTATATAAATGAAATGATATATGAAAGATGCATAAACAATAAATATATGTAATATATTATATGTATATTTATATATGATAAACATACAGTTACATGTACATATTACCCAGTTACATCCAGATAACCAGAAAGCATATTTTCTATATATCTGTTTACCTTATAACATATATTATTTATAATTGTATATTACATGTATGTATATTTATATATACTATCTATCATACAGATATAAATAGAAATATTTTTTATATCTTTTATACCTATAAAATAGGTATTATATTTATTTATTTATTTATTTATTTATTTTTTGAGACGGAGTTTCACTCTTGTTACCCAGGCTGGAGTGCAATGGCGCGATCTCGGCTCACCGCAACCTCCGCCTCCTGGGTTCAGGCAATTCTCCTGCCTCAACCTCCTCAGTAGCTGGGATTACAGGCACGCACCACCATGCCCAGCTAATGTTTTTGTATTTTTAGTAGAGACGGGGTTTCACCGTGTTGACCAGGATGGTCTCGATCTCTTGACCTTGTGATCCACCCGCCTTGGCCTCCCAAAGTGCTGGGATTACAGGCTTGAGCCACCGCGCCCGGCAGGTATTATATTTATAAGTATTATGTATAAATATCTACATTTTAGTATATCACTATATGTAATGTATAAGTATGTATCAAACCATATCTTTATTAAATATAGGTGTGGTGGAGCAGATATATAATGAGGCTACATTTATATATTTATGCATAATATCTCCCTGGTTTGTTTGGAATTTTTTTTTTTTAAGCTTAGTAGAGAACTGGAGTTTAATTTGTTTCTGGAAAGGAGTTGATGTAATTTGAATAAAAAATAAACAGACTTTCCATTAGGTTTGAAATGTAACTTTTAATATAAATGTTGGCAAAAATGGCTATTTTTCTTTTCCAGGAACCTAAACCATTTGTGGAAGGGCTCTGTTCTCTTTGGAAAAATAACAGAGACCGCGCAGTCACTCAAAGGGAAGATAAAGTTCAAAATCAGCTAGTTCCAAAGATACCAACATCCCTGGGGAGGTGGCGGAGGTGGCGGGGAGGGCCAGTGTGCTGTCTCCTCCGGGCTGTGCCTCGGTGCCTTTTACAAATCACAAAGGGCAGAACGCCCTCACAGACATTTTTGCTCTAGGCCCAGAACCAAAACAGAATGGAAGAGAAGAGGCATCATAATTGGACGAAGCCGCTTCTTTTTTCCCTGAGTACTACGTGTGTATAATATTATATTCAAATTTTAAAATTTTCATTATAATTAGGACATAGAGATCATTGATTTTTTTTCCTCCTAACTTTACTACATTTCCTCAGTGTAAATGAAAATCACCTGAAAATTCGTCAGCTCTTTTACACTTATTACCTCACGTTATTTCAATACCCCCCCAGTTTCTTGGTGATGACAGGCCAGAAAAATCTGGGGGAGCCTGGCTCCCCCTCCTTGCCTGACTAGACATTGTGATCTTATGGTTTGGGGTGTGCCCTGGGCACCAAGATGTTTTAAAGCCCCCAGCATGACTCTGACATTCTAGCATTCTCACTTTGTAGGGGAATTATGTAATCCTTCAAGACAGCTGAGAGCCTCAGCAAACTGCATTTAGTCTTTGTGATTCTCATCACACTGATTAAAAGAAGCGAATCCCCTTTCTTGAATGACAAAGCAATCAGCACCTGTGTTAATTAACATGCATTCTTTGGGCATTTGTTTTTTACCGAGAGTCCAATATTTGCTAAAACCATGGAGTGTGCATTTGTGACTACGGATGAGAGAAATAGATGATTTACCAGAGCTAAGAGATGAGGTAGTTATTGCTTTTACTGTTTCCTTTCCTTGCAATTTCAGGTTTGGGTCCCCAGCACCTTTGATTAAAGGAAAGAAGCAGCCACGCAGCAAGGGCAGTCCTGGGATGCTGTTTGCATCGTCCAGAATATTGATGAAGTCGGCTAGAGTGGGGACCCATGGTGTGGGACAGATACAGAAATGGGCTCAGGCATCAGATAATTCAGCCAGATATGACTGACATCTTAGAAAAGACCTCACCTGTGTATATGCTCGTTTCTCCATCTCATCCATAAAGAGAAGCAGAGAGCCCCTGCCGCAAGACTTAAATGAGCTCATAAACAAAAGCACTCCACAGGGTTTGGGGCATATAGCACCTGCTCCATAAATGAAAAAATATTACTACTTTGGAGCAGCCCTTTATTTTTTAAGGCGGTGATAAAGTATCTTTTAGAATGCAAACATCTTTTTCTTTTTTCTTCTTTCTCTTCCAAAGGAAGAAGGTGAAAGTGTGGAGATGAATGCCTTTAAAAGTGCCTTTCACACCTAAGTGTGAAGTCTAGGTGTTAACCTGAGTGAGAAATCTTCAAAGAACAGAATAACTTCACAGGGAGCTCTGCTGCCTGCCCGGAGCACAGTGTTCCATGCTCTCTGTTCCGCCTGGCGCTTCTCGCATCATGAACTTGGTGCTGGTTATTTCTTTACTTCTCAAACTCCCATGGATCATTCTTTCTCTGCATTACTCTTTCTCCATGGACTGGACATTGCTAGACACTGAACATGTGCCTCTCCAAAATTCATGTTTAAATCTAACCCCCAAGGTGATGGTGTCAGGAGGTGGGGCCTTTGGGGGCTGCTGAGGTCATGAGGGTGGAGCTTTGTGAACGGGATTAGTACCCAGAGAGCTCCCTTGCTCTTCCACCATGTGAGGACGCAGCGAGAATGCGCTATGGCCCCACCACGCATCTATGAACCAGGAAGTGAGTCCTCACCAGACACAGTGTCTGCTGGTGCCTTGATCATAGGGTTCCAGCCTCCAGAACTGTGAGTGATAAATGTCTGTTGTTCATAAGCCACCAGTCTATGGTGTTTTGTTAGAGCAGCCTGAATGGAATAAGACAGAAATTATTTGCAACTCTTCATTTTGCTGTAGCTGATTTTACTTTTGTTATTTCTTTACCGTTTGTATTTTTTCTCCCTTAATTACTCTCTGATGGATTAAACATGGTCAGGACTGGACCCAGAGTAACAGAACCTGGACCTCAGCCTCGTCCTGCCTGAGTGTAAAGCACAGGCTCTTCTCATTAGTGACCCCTTGGTGCTTCCTGTTATTTACAACCGTAAGCCCCCGCTGTCATGTGAAAGCACTGTCATTGTTTTTATGAAGTATTCTTTATGGGTCTTGTTTAGGGCAGCCAAAGGACATTTGCAAGGTTAAGTCAGCATTTGGGGGAACAACATTTTCTATATCTGAATATCTGTTTGGTATCTGCTTTTCTGGGATCTCAAAACTTGAAGCAACTGGGACAGTTTTAAGCAGAGGCACATCTATAGCTAGAGAACTGGTCAGGAAATCATTTGGTTTAAGAATTGGGTCCCTAAGATCTCCTGAACCGTCTGTCACTCTTAGATGGTGGAGGATACCTAGAACAGAAAACAGGAAGGGATGATTGTATTGTATGAGTGTCTCAATCCTGAACTTCCCTTTTAGTTTGGGCACATATATGATTCCTTGTACTCTACGTATATATTTTCAGAGTATTTCTCACCTGTTAAGATCATTTCCTAATATATGTAATATACTTCACAGGATAGTCTGGTAAAATGATAGCACTGTGTCTGTTTGTTAATAGCAAATCCAGGAGTGACTCAGCTTTACTTCATTTCTGGAGTATGTCAACCAGAGTAAAAACTTGACCATGAACACTGATGACCTTTATCTTTGCATCAGCAGGTTCTAGATGAACAAAATCATTTATTATCTCCATCACCTAAAGATATCGACTGCCAACATTTTAGTGAATCTCTTTCCAATCTTTGAATTTTTTAAACATCTGCATTCTAAGGTTGTGATTACACTGAATATATCATTCTATACTATGAATTTTAATACTGTAATGTTTTTGTTTATATTTTTATATATTCATTTCAAACAATATATTTAATGGCAGCATAATTTCCTAAATACTTTCTTCTACCTTTCCCCTTAATATTTCCTCAGTTTTGTGTCTGCCTCAAGGATTCAGTAAATTATGACTTATAAAGTTAATGCATATTAAATAGGATTTTGGCTAATGTGGTCTGTATTTTTGGGATCTAGATGGATCATATATGGTACTGGAAATAAAACACAGTACCTTGGACATATTGCAGATTCAGTTTCAGACCACCACAGTAAAGTGAATAGCACAACAAAGTGAGTCATACGAAGTTTCTGGTTTGCCACTGTATATAAAAGTTATGTTTACATTATACTATAGTCTATTAAGTGTGCAATTGCATTATGTATAAAAATACAATGTAATTAACTTAATTAAAAATAATTTATTGCTAAAAATGCTCATGATCATCTGAGCCTTCAGCAAGTCATTACTTTTTTTTACTGGTGGAGGGCCTTGCTTTTACGTCGATGGGTGCTGACTCACCAGGGTGATGGTTGCAAGAGGCTAGGGTGGCTGTGGCAGTTTCTTAAAATAAGACAACAATTATTTTCTTAAAATAAGTCACTGCTTCAGTGGACTGTCTTTTCATGAAAGATTTTTCTGTAACATGTGATGTTATTTGACAGCGTTTTACCCCCAGTAGAACTTCTTTTAAAATTGGAGTCAATCTTCTCAAATCTTGCCACTGCTTTATCACCTAAGTTAATGTAATAGTCTGTATTCTTTGTTGTCATTTCTGCAATGTTCACAGCATCTTTATCAGGAGTAGAGTACATCTCGAGAAACCACTTCCTTTGCTCATCTATAACAAGCAACTTCTCATCCATTCAGGTTTGCTCATAAGGTTGCAGCAATTCAGTCCCACCTTTAGGCCACACTTCTAATTCTAGTTCTCTTGCTGTTTCCACCATATCTATAGTTACTTCCTTCACTGAAGTCTTGAATCCCTCAAATTCATCCATGAAGTTTGGAATCAACATCTTCCAAACTCCTGTTAATGTTGGTATTTTGACTTCCTCCCATGAATCACAAATGTTCTTACTGATATTTAGAATGGCGAATCTTTTCCAGAAGGTTTTCAATTTACTTTGCCTAGATCCATCAGAGGAATCACTATCTATGGCAGCTATAGCCTTATGAAATGGATCTCTTAAATAATAAGACTTGAAAGTCAAAATGGCTCCTTGATCCATGGGCTGCAGAATGGATGTTGTGGTAGCAGGCATGAGAACAACGTTAATCTCCTCGTACATCTCCATCATAACTCTTTCATGACCAGGTGCATTGTCAATTAGCAATAATATTTTGAAAGGAATCTTTTTTTTAAGCAGCAGATTTCAACCATGGGCTTAACATATTCAGTAAACCATGCTGTAAACAGATGTGCTGTCATCCAGGCTTTGTTGTTCTATTTCTAGAGCACAGGCAGAGTAGATTTAGTGTCATTCTTAAGATTCCTAGGATTTGGGGGATGGCAACTGAGTGTTGGCTTCAATTTAAAGTCACCAGCTGCATTAGACCCTAACAGGAGAGTCAGTCTGTCCTTTGAAGCTTTGAGGCCCGACACTGACTTTTCTGTAGCTATGCAAGTGTAGATGGCAACTCCTCCCAATAGAAGGCTGTTTCATTTACATTGAAAATCTGTTGTTTAGTGCAGCCACCATCATTAGTGATGTTACCCTAGGTCTTCTGGACAACTTGCTGCGGCCTCTCCATCAGCACTTGTTGCAGCACATTGCACTTTTATGTTAGGTCGATGGCTTCTTTCCTTAAATCTCATGAACCAACTCCTGCTAGCTTCCAACTTTTCTTCTGCAGCTTCCTCACCTGTCAGCCTTCATAGAAGTGAAAAATTAGGCCCCCACTCTGGATTAGCTTTGGTTTAAGGGAACGTTGTGGCTGGTTTGACCTTCTATCCAGACCACTCAAACTTCCTCCATATCAGTACTACGGCTGTTTCACTTTCTTATCATTCCTATGTTCCCTGGAGTAGCACTTTTAATTTCTTTCAAAAACTTTTTCTTTGCATTCCCAACTTGGTGAACTGGTCCAAGAGGCCCAGCTTTTGTTCTGTCTCAGCTTTCAACATGCCTTCCTCACTAAACTTGAGCTTAATCATTGCTAGCTTTTGATTTGAAGTAAGAGGTGTGTGATTCTCCCCTTCACGTGAACACTTAGACGCCATTGTAGAATTAGTAATTGTCCTAACTTCAACATATTGTTGTGTCTCAGGAAATATGGAGGGCTGAAGAGAGGAGGGGAGATGGGGAATGGTTGATCTGTGGAGCAATCAGAACACACACACACAACATTAGGAATTAAGTTTACCATCTCCTATTGGTGCAGTTCATGGTACCACAACATAATTATAATAATAACATCAGAGATCACTGATCAAAGATCACTGTAACAGATATAATAGTAATGAAACAGTTTGAATTGAAATGCTATGAGAATTTCCAAAATGTGATATAGAGACACAAAGTGAGCACATGCTCTTGGAAAAATGGTGCCAATAGACTTGCTTAATGCAGGGTTGCCAGAAACCTTCAATTTGTAAAAAATGCAATATCTGTGAAGTGCAATAGAAAGAGATATATGTGTGTATAACTAATTTGTCTACACAGTAACTCACAAATAGTTATTTAGTTCTACAACTGAGAACATTGGAGGTTTTGTAGTGTGTAAGGCCCTAACAACTCAAGCCAGTGGTGCTTGGACTTGAGTGTGTGCCAGCCTCACCTGGAGAACTTGCGAAACACTGACACCTGAACCCCACCTTATTATTCGGGTCCTCTTGGTCTAGGGTGGGACCTGAGAATATGCATTTCTAACAAGCTCCCAGTTTGTGCCGCTGCTACTTGCCCAAGGACCACACATTTAATTGTTCTGACACATATCATTGAGTCTTCTGGTTCATGATGATAATTTCTACATACTTATCTAATTTGCTGATGGTACCTAAAGAAAGGCAAACAAGCTAGTAAACCTAAAGCATGGGTCTTGGACAGTGTTGATTATAGTTGGTACCTGTTGTGAAACGGATCATGTTAGTATGAAGTTTTTCTAACAGTAAAAATTGCATCTGAGGCCAAGCACAGTGGCTCCTGCTTGTAACCCCAGTGTTTTGGGAAGCCAAGGCAGGAGGATTGCTTGAGGCCAGGAGTTTAAGACAAGCCTGCGCAACATAGTGAGACCTCATCTTTGAAAAAAAAAAAAAATTAGCCAGGTATGGTGGCACACACCTGTGGTCTCAGCTACTTGGGAGGCTAATGTGGGAGAATTGCTTGAGCCCAGAAGTTGGAGGCTGCAGCTATCATTGCACAACTGCACTCCAGCCTGTGTGGCAGAGTGAGACCCTGTCTCTAACTAAGAGAGAAAAAAAAAAAGATTACATTTTAACTTTAAGGTCTGCAGAGGTGGTTTTCCTCAACCATTTGTAAACCAAATTCAATTCTTACTTCTTTTTTCCATTCCCACCTGGGATAATTGCCTCTTTCTTTCTCTGGTTGCTTTCTGGTAGCTCACACTAAGCATAAGACAGAAAGTCTGTCCCTGTTTAACATCATGTCGCCTTGCTTCACTGTGTGCAAAACTTCTCTACTTTGGGGATTATGTAGGGGAAAATCTGAAGCCGGGTGTGAACCACACCAATTCCCTGTACAGCAGCTGTGGGCTAGAGAGAATGAAAAGCAGCATTTCAAAAGTGATTTATGCAAATGTAATGTGGATTTTGGGGGGATGGAGTCCGATTGTCCCCAAAAGCAGAATGCACATTACTGGGTGATCCATAGTCATTTTCTGTTCTGGGCACAATGGACTTTCTAGTACAAAATGTGCTACTGGCAATTGACGCTGCAGAGAAACAAGCAAGTCTACCAT